TTTACATGTTATGTGTAATTAAACCATGGCAACATCTAATGTTTGTGTAGTATTATGTTCAGCAGACTGTGTTCTTCTATTGTTGTGACTTAGATGACGTTCAGAGCACATTTTATGCCCAATTCATGCAAAACTCCACGTAATCCCAAGGGGTTCACATACTTTTTCTTGCAACTGTATATACATTGCCACCCAGTGGCTGCAGCGTGCCAACTACTTATAGAAAGCTTGCGGGGGATCCTACAAGAATTTTGAAGTTGTTCAATGATTTTGTAAAAAGGGTTTGAAGAGTGGCATTCTTGATAAAAAGGAAGCTAGGTATCTTACTTTGAAGACTCCTAGGATTCCAGTAATTTACTATCTGCCAAAAATGCATAAAAATAAAGATAAACCCCCAGGTAGACCCATAATAAGTAGGGTAAATTCTTGTATTCCTGACTGGGGGAATACTTGGATATCTTTCTCCATCCATTGGTGGAAAAAGGAAGGCCTTTTCTGAAGGATAGTAAGGATGTTATTTCGGTGTTGCAAAACATTTCAGTGAATGACTCCACCATACTGGTGACAGTGGACATAGAGTCTTTATATACCAATATTAAACAATTGGATGCAGTACAATGGGCATTTGATACATTTACTAATCTGAAAAGATCACAAATTAAGTTTTAGGTGGAAGGGCTTAGCACCACTATGGCAAACAACTATTTTTGGCATCAGGGAGAATTTTATAATCAACATAAAGGCGTAGCCATGGGAGCAAGATATGCTCCGAGTGTGGCATATATTTTTTTTAATAAATGGTAGGTTTGGCACTGAAATATGTGAGTGCAATAATATATTTTTTATATTCTTCTAGATTTTAATAAACTTGGTACACTATAGAATATCTCTCTTTTTTGAGTGTTTGTACTGTTTCATCCCAATTGCAAAAGTCTACCGTGTGGAAGACTATGAAGACTTGGGTTGAGTCGGTAATTCTGATATAGCTGGTTGTGATTTGCCTTTATTATTTTATATCTGGTGAGTTATTACTCTCACTGCATGCGTTGGAATTTGCACAAGTGGATCATTTGTTTAGTTGGAAAATGGGCATGGAAGGCTAATTCTTCGTGGAATTAATATTTGTACCTTTCTTTTATGGACACTTTATAACTTGATTTGGCACTGTGGTGTTATTGAATGATATGTTTATTATTTATGTAGGTAGTGATCACTTCAATATTGTTATGAGTAGCGCTTTTCTTCTTTTTTAGAGTAATTATTATAGTGTCTTTTCATTTTTATAAGGCAGCTTCTTCTTATTTGTGGGATTGAATTGGAGGTGGTGCCCCCACTTTTTTGTTTGAATAAATAAAACATGGCATTACGGAGAGCAGTATATTTCCTTCCTTTTGTCTTTGAGCATGGATTGATTTCCTGGAGTGAGAAAGGATACAGCCTTCCAACTGGAAAGGAGTCCTGGCTATAAAAAGGATAAGCGTGATAGACCTTTTCCTTTTTAAAAGGTTATATCAACAAGGTGAGGGTGTGCCCATAAGAATTTGGTGGAGGTCTCAATTGAAGCAACATGAGAGTGATTTGATGGTGAAAGATCACAAGAATACCCATGGACGATTTTTTTTTATTTGTTTACTAGTCAGTGTTCACATTTGTGTATATCACTGGGATATTCAGATTGTGGATCACATTTTTTATTACTATATTCATATTGCTTGTGGTTTTAAACACTAATGTGTTTATGCAAATCATGTGATATATGTTTGGATTGCTTTAACTGAATTTATGATTCTACTTTTAGGCTGGGTTCACACTGATGCTATGCGGAATTTGCAGTGTTTTCTGTGCAAATTCTGCACCGCATCAAAATCGCACCCCGTTCATGCGAACCGATGCAGGTGTCTATGTTAAGTTAACAACACCCCGAAATTGGTCCACAAAATGCAGTGCAATGTGCAGAATCGGATCACATAGGTGTGAATACCCACGCGATACGATTCTAGTGCAAACCCAAAAAAGGGTCCTGCACCTTTTTGGTGCTGGTGCAGTGTGATTTGAGCCATATAAAATGTATGGCTCCAATTGCACGGCACACAAATCGCATGTGATGTTTACAAGAATGCGGTGCAGTTCCCGTATGAATCACATGCGATGTACCGCACCGCGTTTGTGTGAACCTAGCCTTAGTGTTCACAGTAGCGCAGCATTTTGATTTTATTCTTTTTGGTGTTCATTACTTTATGCTTTCAGCTTTTTACTATTATCACTGAGTATGTAAGATTAATTTGGGTTGAGGACAGCTCCTGTCTCGCTAAATAAAAAACACTTAGTTGAAGCTTCCAAAATGTAACACTTTTGAGGAAAAAACATTTGCCTTGGATCCTACTTCTGGCCACTTCCTGGAGGTTTCGTTGACATTACTATTCCTCATTACTGCCTGCCAGGTAAGTTGGGTGCTCAAAATCCCACAGGAATTCAGTTTTCCAGGGAAGTAGCGGTGAGGAACAATGATGTCACTGGCATCTCAGGATGTAAGACAAAGCCAGGTACAAAGTAAGTAAGTACTATTTTCTTAATTTACTTTTTGGCAGCTGCGATAAGGTGTGTTTTTTATGTGTTGTTTCTTTATGAAATGTGGGCTGGGGGGAGAAAAATGAAAGAATGATAAAAAAGAAACAAAAAAGAGGAAGGGGGGGATAATGTGCTGATGTGAGACAGGGCTGTGTCATTGCCCAGGATCAGAGAACAGTGTGTGAAACAGTTGAAGTATACAGTATGTGAACCCTTACCTTGTAAAACAACACTTGAAAATGTTTGCCTTGTAAAAATAGAAATACAAAGCATACATTTGTGTATATGTATATTATGTCTTTTTTTCTAAGCTGCATAAGGGTCATGTGGAGAGGTGGGGATGGAGACTGCAGAGGGTTTATCAGCAGGTGGCAGAGAAACAGCAATACACTGATCTTCCTAATGAAGACTTCCACAGGGGGACATGTCAGCACAAGTATTGGCCATTGGAGGACAGGTAGGCTGTGCTCCCAGCATGGTCAGTTTTCTGGCTGGAATGGATGTGCTTCCATGCCTGGCATGGCCAGTTTGAAATAGGAAAGCAGGGGGACTGGCTGGTTCACTGGGTATTTCACACAAAGAAGCAATACAAAGAACAGGATACGTTTTAACACAAGTACAAGACACAGATCAGGAATCTGAAATGTTGGAGTAACATACACTTTAATTAGCTCCCAATGCTCTGCATTTCACCTGGATCGAAGGGCCTCTTGAAAGACTATTTTCCTTCCAGTCGTACCACTCTCTAAGTAGAAATCAGATTTAATTTTGATTGCAGAGGTCAGGTCTTCCATGAACATTTAACTACTTTTTTTCTAAAGTTATATGGAGTTGTACAACAGGAAAAAAGTAAGGGTCATCGGGAATAATGTATTCTGTAAACCTCTGAGCTAGGAATCTGACCTTCTCCAAAAAGCCCCTCAGTCTGGAACCTTGCCAGAAAATATGCAGTACAGTACAATCTGCTTCATGGTAATGCGTAGCAGGAGTAGGAACCTCCAGGTAGATAAAATGTAAAAACCTAGGAGCTTCTATACCATCTTGATACATGTTTGGATAAAAATGCTTTTTGTTAAGAAGGTTGGGGGCTCTTAGAAAAATGAATCTTGTATTTTCATTCATACATTTGTTTGTTTTAAGCTGAACAATCTTTTATATTTTATGCCTATGTCCCCAGTATTTGTATTATTATGTAGCGATACCCCCGGCAGGAAAGAAAACCCACAGTGCCGTGATTGGCTGACACTACCCTATGCTGGATTAAGAGCTGTAGTGGAGAATTGAAATAACATTGGATGCTAGTCACTTTTGTCTTTTCCAGATATTTATTTGCTCCAGGCTCACAGGGAGAGAGGGCTAGGGCTTCAGATACCTCCAGCAACATATTTTTTAGACTTAAACCACACTCCTGCCATCACAGTGCAAAAAGAGTACAAGGACAATGGTGTAATGCTAAAATAAGAATAATCAGTTAATCACTGGCAGGCTGTGAGTACCTCCATGCATCCTCCATAAGGCCATCCCTGGCTCTGCTGTATCCTCTAGGCAGGACAGCTTCAGGATAATGGGTTATGCCCAATCAGGTTTCTAGACTAGCAAGTACAAACTACTACACACACCTCCCCAGACCGCAGCCCATGGAGAAAGAGGACTTACCAAGTCAGTCGCCAAATATTTATATCTTCACCCAGCATGCACCACATGAAATAAACCTCTTGATTGGCTGGGGGCATAAATATTCATAACTCAACACTGCTGCACCTCCCCTGCCTATTTCCGAAGGTACCAGTCACACCTACTGGCAGCAGCAAGGTACAGCAGCAACACTAAGTTTAGGGGAAAGCCAAGTGAGATTCTCCAAATTATCCTGGGCAAATTACTACCCAGCAGAATCACTTCAACAATCACTCCTGCTCATGGCAGGGTGGCTAGAATTATAGATTACAGTATATTATTCTAGTTAAAGTTTATGTAAACCTTTGCAAAGAAATGATCTTCTTTGCAGGATTTTTATCTGTAGACTATACCATTACCATTTTGATATTCATTTTCGATAAGTGTAAAAACCCCAAAACTGTTGATTCTTCCAGAGACCCAGTAAGCTTGTAACTTTCTGTAGTAAGCTAACAACCCAGTGCCTTTACTACACTAAATCACAAGCAATGTTGCCAGCCCTGCCCAGTTCATCTTTGTGAACTACAGAACACACTTCTTGCTAAGGAGATGAGGAGATGGAGGTGCTCTGTAGTGATAACCAGGAGCGAGTAGCCTAGGGTGAAATGCGTCTCCTCTGAGCTTTGCTACCCTAGTACAGGAATTGCGTTACTGGCTGGATCACCAGGTGAAAAGAAAAAAAAGGGTGAAAAAAAACTAAAAAAAAAACTAATGCAGCCACCACATTTAAGGAGTGGTAATTTTGTGTTTTCTTGTAGATCATCTCATTTTTCACCTGTTTGGGTCTGTGGATTCCTCGTTCAACCGGTTTTATAGATATCGCTGTGGGCACGTAAGTAACAGTTGCATGCTAAAAATTGCATTGTCTCAAAATACTGAAGGCACTTTCTAAAATATGTAAATATGTAATAGTAGAGAATATAACTTTGGAACTGCAAAAACAAAAAGTTATCAAGCATATTATAAAGTAGTTCAGTGTATATTGTGACAGTGCTGCGCACCGACACTGTGTTAGAAGGGATAAAGGTCACACAGGGTTCTCATAAATGCAGGTTGAGGGGCTCCAGAATGTCTGTGCCGCAAGAAGAAAATTGGTCTTTCATATTTCCATTGGACTGGTAACTCATAAATTGGGTTCTGGAGTCCAGAGGCTTCAAAGAGTCTTGGGAGCGATGAGGCATATAACCCTATGTCCATATCTTACAGGAGACCAGCAGGCTGAGTGTGCAGATGTGCAGGTTATAATCAAGGGGCTGTCTGTAGTTCAGGGCTCCACCTAGGAGACAGGAGACCCAAAGGTCTGGATATGAACCAGTACAGCAGGTAGCTGCGAGAGAGGTACAGGATTTGTTCATGAGCACAGTGCTGCAGTGAATTAGTGTGACAGAACAGACACAAGGCCTAACCTTGAGGCCAGAGCAGTGATACTGCAAGAAAAAGTCAGGAGGCTTGATACTGTTTTGCTTTTGTGTTTTGAATGGGTGTTGGAAACCCCCGTGAGGGTAAGTCAGTAATGGCCTTTTCAAGTAAATAGAAGTGGGCCACAAGCCCTAAAACTGTATTTTCTGGCTGGAATGAACTGAGTGGAAAGCACTATACCTCAAGGAAATATCACAATATAAATTACCTTTGCACTTTTTCCTATTGCCAAATACCATAAAATACATTATTTAAAAAAGGCACCACCAATTGTTCACACTTCTAACAATTTTATTAGATGATAGGTATGGGCACAATCCTGACTTATATGGAAATTCTAATGGCGTTCAGTACATGATTATTATAAACCTTATATCTGTAAGCAAATGTGTTACGCTTTTTATAAACATCCTACTAGTGTAATTCTTGATCGAAACTCCCCATTTGATAACTCCCTGATCTTCATTTTTTTATCAGGTATTTTGCAGTCTGTTTCTACCTGATATTGATGGTTATAATTGAAGGCTATGGAGGAAAAGATGCACTTGTGAAGAAATTAGAGAACACGGAGGTACACCTCAACACAGGGCCATGCTGCTGCTGCTGTCCCTGCCTTCCCCGCTTCAAACTTACCAAGTAAGAACACTTCAGGGTAGGCGTCGGGGATGCTTGTGTGTTATAAAATCCACTGGATTTATATCTGTACAGCAAATGCCATATACTGCTGCACTATATTAAGAATTTAAAGGAATTTGCCACTGAAAGCAATATTGAGTTTGCTATTACTGACCTCCTTTTGCACATACTAGTTGCCATGCTGACCTTAAGTTTACCACATTCTGAGTCTAACCCCGAACAAGAACTCAAATTAGAATGACACAGTAAGTTCCAACTTCTAAACTTCTTCACTGCAAACCTGTTCAGGGTCTCTGCCTTAGGAAGTGTTGATAGTATTTGTGGATTTATTTCGTCTGACATTATCCCAAGATGATATCTTTGGGCTAAATCATATGGAGTCCGATGGGACTGATCCACTAAGTATGATTTTGACAAGGACCTACAATGTTGGATGCGGATGAAGTGATGTAAAGCCAGGATGCCTATTAGCACATCAAGCAGTTACAGTGTTACTAAACCTAGGACCCTGCGTTTACTATGGGGTCTTGCTAGCAGCTTTTACTTTTTTAAATCACCTTTTCTGCAACTTTTTAAATAGCATTTTTTTTCCTTTCCTTTCCTTCCTTCAGTCTGCTGATTAAGGGAAGGGGTTAATTGGTCACAGGTGCTCCAGGTCCTATATAACTTTCCTTTGTGCTCACTCTGAGCTTGCTCATTATTGAGCTTGCCTGTATTTTGCTTTCTGGACCTTTGATCAAGTGGACATTTGATTAAGCGGAGTTAAAAAAACTGAGTTGAAAACAGGATATTATAACAGGAGTCTACTAACCTGTAAGCAACATCTGATATTTCCTATTAGTAATAATAATATTGTAACTGGGATAATGAGTGCTAGCTGGGTAGAAAGGTTTTGTGCAGTGCGAGTGTGCCACATGTATGTAACAATGGAGCAACAGTACCAGGATGGATACCGCTGCAACAGATGTGAGCTGGGTTGCCTTGGGTTTGAGCACCCAAACAGATTTGCCAATTTGGGTGAAGATGTGGGGGTGGCAAGCTCAGGGGTGGCAGCCATGGATGTCACTGCTATCCCTAACAGCCGGGAGGGCAGACCATCTGGGAGGGGTGGTGAGGGTAGTGCAGGAAGGCCTAGACAGCTGGTGGTAGTAAGGGATTCTATAATCAGAAGGACAGATAGAATAATTTGTCACCAGGATCGCCTCAACCGAATGGTCTGCAGTCTCCCTGGTGCCAAGGTTTGGCATGTGGTAGACTGGGTTAATAAATTACTGGGAGGGGCTGAGCATGACCCAGCTGTCTTGGTCAACGTTGGAACCAATGAATACATGGAAGGTGGAGGGTCCTTAAGAATCAATTTAAAGAACTAGGCTGCAAGTTGAAGGGAAGTACCTCCAAGTTGATATTCTCTAGATTATCTGTGCCATACGCAACTCAGGAAAGACAGGGGGAGATTAGAGAACTCAATGCATGGCTAAAGACCTGGTGTAAGGGGGAAAGATTTGGGTTTCTAGAGCACTGGGCTGACTTTCCTTTGGGGTGCAATCTATATGCTAGAGATGGTTTGCACCTAAATGAAAGGGGGTCTGCTGTGCTGGGGGAGAGGTTTATGGGACCGCTAGAGGAGTATTTAAACTAGGATCGAGCAGGAGGGAGAATTATATTATACTGGGGCAGGCAGATCAGATAGGGGTCAGAACTTATTGGTGGGTGGAATTGGGAAATATGGGGGGAGGGTTATGGCAGGTGATAAGAAGGTGCACATGTTACAAACAATCATTGGAACTGGTACCATTTGTACAAAAATAAAAAATATGTAAAATACGTGTGCACAAGGTGTTAATTAAAGTGTTTGTTCACCAATGCCAGAAGTGTGCCAAGCAAAATAGGTGAATTGGAAGCTTTGGTGCATGAACAGAACTATGATTTAATTGGTATTTATGAATCTTGGCTTCATACTTCACATGATTGGGCCATTAATATTCCTGGCTATGTTCTCTTTCGGAGAGACAGGGTAAAAAGGAAAGGTGGTGGTGTCTGTCTGTATGTGAGAAGTGATGTCAAAGCGAGTGTGAAAGAGGACCTAGTTGATGGAGAGTGTGATAAAGCTGAAGCATTATGGGTGGAACTGCACTTGGAGGTGCATACTACAAAGGTAATCATTGGAGTTTGTTATATGCCACCCAGTGTTAATGAGCAGGTGGAGCCTCAGTTCCTTGCACAGATCGAAAGGGCTTTGAGGCCTGGGACAGTGATAATAATGGAGGATTTTAACTACGTGGAAATTGACTGGAGCAATGGCACTGCAGGAAGTTAAAAGGCAAAAATTTATAACCCTACTACAGGACAATTTTATGGTACAGTTCATAGAGGCCTCAACTAGAAATGATGCTCTACTGGACCTGATAATCTCAAACCATGCAGAGTTTATTACGAATGTCCATATAAAATAACATCTGGGTAGCAGTGACCATAACACAATTTCATCTATTGTTAGCTGTAAACAACAAGCACATACAGGAAAAATAAAAACACTCAACTTTGCGAGAGCTAATTTTCCAAGGCTGAGAGCTGCTTTCCAAGACTTAGACTGGGTGGGAATATTGGCATCAATAAACATGACACAGAAATGGGAGTTCTTCAAAAAGGCTGTATGTGAACACACTGCAAAATATATTCCCATGGGCAACAAGTTTAAAAGGCTAAATATCAAACCTATGTGGCTTACGACCAAAGTGAAAAAAGCTATAGATAAGAACGCTATCATCGTTTAAACATTACAAACATAACAAAATATGTAAAAAGGAAATTAAGGCTGCAAAAATTGAAAACGAACAACAGATTGCAAAAGATAGCAGCACAAGCCCCAAAATATTCTTCAAATATATTAATAGTAAAAAGGTCCGGTCTGAGTATGTAGGCCCTTTCCAAATTATCTAGAGTGGGTGACTGGGGACAAAGAGAAGGCAAATTTATTAAATACCTTCTTCAGCTCTGTCTATACAAAGGAGCATGTGGGAGCTCTTGTCCATAATGGACATGGTATTGACACAGCTCCAGATGATCCACATTGGCTCACAATTGATATGATCCAAAAATATTTAGACAGTATAAAGGTGAATAAAGCACCTGGACCGGATGGCATGCACCCACGGGTCCTTAAAGAATTGAGCTCTGTCATTTCAAAGCCATTTTTTCAAATTTTTAGGGACTTTTTAATGACTGGCATAGTACAACTGGATTGGCATAAGGCCAATGTGGTGCCAATATTTAAAAAGGGTTCAATCAACGTATACCCTTATAAACCTCAAAAAGTCAATACTTTCTCCCTAGAAAATGCAATAATATATATACACAACCTTTTTGTGAATTACAAAAATAAAATAAAATAAATTAATTAATTTTAAACACATAATGTGCAACAAAGTCCCACTAATCCAAAAAATGTCCAAAAAGAAGTCCAAAATAGTGTCCACAAATATCCCAAGTTTATTCACTCTTTTCATCCACTGAAAGGATTGGCTGCTATTTCATCCAAAACGCACCTCAAAATAAAAAATATGAAAATATCTAGTGCATTACCTCAATAATAATAAAAATAACAATAATCACCCCGTGCAACCAAAATACACTTCAAAAAAAAGTCCGTAAGTGACGAAATGCGTTAGGGGAGTGGCGTCAAGACGCACGTACGTAGACCGGAAGTGTCGCCACGGCCATTTTGTTGGTTTTCAACACATGGTTTTCTATGGTGTTTGCTTGAAAAGTTTGAAACCATGTCTGGAGCTGATAATTTTAAACCTAAATGTAAGTGATGAATAAAAAGTTATCCCTATGCTTGGAATATTAGTCCTGAGACCCTGTTTATCTCTCTGAGGACCTTGAAAAAATATCTTGGAAGATAAGGTGGAGGAATACTTTTCCATAGTATCGTCTGAGCATTTTCAATACTCATAGAGGGTAATAGTATTTAGTACTACTGTGTGCTGGTTGATGGTAGACACTGATTTGCAGTGACCACAGAGTGTTCACAGTTTGATGTGTGTGATTATATGCACTATAAGAAAATATTTTTTTTTTTTTTGCACAAAAAGCTTTTTTGAAGTGTATTTTGGTTGCACGGGGTGATTATTGTTATTTTTATTATTATTGAGGTAATGCACTAGATATTTTCATATTTTTTATTTTGAGGTGAGTTTTGGATGAAATAGCAGCCAATCCTTTCAGTGGATGAAAAGAGTGAATAAACTTGGGATATTTGTGGACACTATTTTGGACTTCTTTTTGGACATTTTTTGGATTAGTGGGACTTTGTTGCACATTATATGTTTAAAATTAATTAATTTATTTTATTTATTTATTTTTGTAATTCACAAAAAGGTTGTATATATATAATATTTAGAAAGGGGTCAAAATATTTACCAAGTAATATAGTATATACAGTAGTTGGGAAGATACTGGAGAGTTTAATAAAAGACCACATTGATGAGTTCTTGCTGAAAAAAAATATTTTAAGCAACAGACAGCATGGATTCATGAAAGACAGAAGTTGTCAAACAAATCTGATTTCTTTTTATGAGGGGTGAGCAAAACCTTGGACAGAGGGGTGGCAGTGGATGTGGTATACTTGGATTTTGCAAAAGTGTTTGACACAGTTCCCCACACACGGCTAATGTGTAAAGTAAAGTTTACAGGCTTGGAAAAATCTGTATGTAAATGGATAGAAAACTGGCTAAAAGATCGTATTCAGAGAGTAGTGATTAATGATTCATACTCTGAATGGTCTGGGGTCATCAGTGGTGTACCCCAAGGTTCAGTGTTGGGACCCTTACTTTTTAATATATTTATAAAAGATATAGGGTCTGGGGTTATAAATACCATTTCAGTCTTTGCAGATGACACCAAGCTGTGCAGTGGAATAACGTCCTTACAGGATGTCTCCAACTTACAAGCCGACCTCAATGCACTGTGTAATTGGGCAACTATGGCAAATGAGGTTT